CATCATCTTGCGTCACGATGCGCGACGCCGTAGCCAATTACCTCCGGTTCGTGTCTGTACCGCGCACTTTGAATGGCTGCATCTGTAGGACTAAATACTGGGCTATGGGTGACCGTGCTTTTTGTGTTCCTGCACCATTTTTATGGGAAGCACCTGTTGTAACTTCTCTAGAGGGAGATTCTTAGGCAGTTTATAAATCTCAACGTAAAACTCAACTTTTTAGTGGGGCCTATGTCTGATCATCTTACAGTTTGTCTTGTAGCTCAGTGGTAGAGCACATGCTTTGGATGTATAAGGCCCCGGGTTCAATCCTAGGCATCTCTGGCATGATGACAAAAAGCATGATGTGCAATGATTTTCTTATTTTTTGTAATAGTATAATGTGCAGTGTTTTTCTTCTCTTCTTTTCTTTTGTATTCTATTTAAATGTACAGAAGTGCTGGGTGTCCATAAAAAAATTCCCTCAGGGTACAATAAAATCTTATCTTATCAATCTCCAATAAGGCTTTCTGCAATTTCCCTAACGGGAATAAAGCACCTATCTATCTTATTGTTTTATTTTATTTATTTTTTAATTGTATGTTTTTATAATTATGTACTGAACAACTAGGTTCAGAATATGGCTTTTTAAATAAAAGTTCTTATTCTTAATCTTATTTTCTTTCGGTAGAACTTTAAAATAAATGAACCATTGGCAGGGCCAGTGTACTGTGTTTCATTTTTAACCCTTTTGTAATTAACCACTTATCATTCAGAAATAAGTAGCACAGTACTTTAGGCTCATAAAAAAATAATTTAAAAAATCACATCTTCAGTCTCCATTGAAAAACAGAACCAAATTTGAAATTGAATGTTTAGTGGTGGGCAGTACCACCTGTCTTTGTTAGCTGCACAATTTCAATGACTTATACAATGTCTTGCAGGAGGTTTTTTTAATGGGGTACTTCAAACAGGGATCAGTTTAAGCTATAGCATCTTTTTTAAATATAAAAAATCTTATTATAAAAAACGTGGAAGGCTAGACCCAATTTGTGTTTCTCTCCTATGTAAGTATGGTTTCTATTTCACAGTTTCTCTCACCAAAGTTTTTGCTGGTCTCTGCTCTTCAGGGACTGCTAGTTTTTTCATTCATACAGTACAAAGCTGTTGACTACTGCTAGATTATGATATGGGTAGAATATGTGTAGCTTTGGCCTTTTTTGTAATCTACAAAATGTATTGTGAAAATGCACTGCAGTAGAGTTGCAAACCATAAATCTGAGGTTTTCACTCTCACCTTTGGGGAATCAATGGAGCCTCCGGTGTCTTTGCAAATGCTTCTTAATAAATAATAAAGTGGCAGTTTTTTTAAGCAGTTAAATCTGGAGGAAAATGATTGATATTAAGATTTTCTAAGCAACTAATAAAGTGCTATTTAACATAAATATAAAAAACTAGTAAACATTAAAATACATTAAAAAATTTGATACATTTTATCTTTTTTACATTGTCTTGTGGAATTAGCCTGTACTTGTTCCTGTATCAAATAATGTTTTATTTACGAGGTTCCAACAAATTTAGAAACAAATAAGGCTTTTTAATCTTAAACAGTTTTACATCCTTAAGGTGTGGGTTAATTTTTAGAAGAATTGTACTGAAGAATACAGTCGCTTTCATTTTCAAAATGGTTCATTTTCTGGGTGTAAGTTTTTGTGACTTTCAATATTTAAAATATTAAACAATATTTCACATCTTCAGTCTTCAGTGGAAAACTGAACAAATCTTTAAAATTTAATGTTTATTGGTGGGTAGTGCCTTAGTAAAAAACAATGCTGATAATCATTTTTGAAGTAGTGGTTTAATGCATCATGCAAAGAACAGCAGAAATGGCGAGACCACAATTTGATTTTCATAAGATTAACTGTGACATTGAAAAGTGGATATGTTTTACTATTGCAGTAGAGGATGTTTAATGTTTAATTGACAGGTATCTTCACTGAATATTTGGCTGTTCTGTGGCTTATTCTCTGCCTGAGTGCTACGAAGAAACAGTGGCACAACCCAAGCTGCCTGGAAAAGAGTTAAATTCTTTGTTTACCACCTGTGGTACAAAACTTAAAGAGCAAACCAACAGCAAGCCATAACCAGCCATCAGCAGATTGTAAAACAAATGGCCCTTCATGTAGAGCTCTGAAACACCTGTTTTGTAAGACGAGGAAACCAGATGGTCTGAGACAGCCCTACACGGGGCTGAACATCTGGAGGAACAGAGAACCCCTGGTGCCTGTGCTCACAGTCCTGCAGAAAAGGGCTGGCGTCTGAAAGATTCAAGCAAAGAATAAATAAATGAAACATTTATTTCTTTCAGGCCCTCCAGGAAAACGAGGGAGGGTAGGCAGAAGAGGTGATCCTGGTAAGCCTGCCTTTATTTCTGTCCTCCCACATTTGCAGGGGAATCCAATGAGCTGTGAATCTGAACATAAACAGTAGACAGTGGAACGTGTCCTACAGTATTGCCTTTTGCATAACTTTGCCAAAACATTAAAGGTTTGAGTTGAAGTAAAGCAGCTATGGAGTCTGCTTTCATAACTTTTACTATACGAAATTCAATGGCTTTTCTAAAACTATGAAGCATTAATAATAATAATAATAGTAATAATAATAATATTAATAATAATAATAATAATATTGTTACATGTCTGTTTTAGCACACCATTTTAACCCTTTAAAGAATATTAAATATTGAAGTTAATTTTGAACATAAGAACTTTGTTTATTGCTTAAAAATCCATGTATCAGGAAGCCTTTTTAAGACATACAGACATTTCTAATTGAAAAGCACTTGAAGAAAAAGTTGACTGTATTTCAGATATAAGGTCTATAAGGTCCGTGCCTTGGATAATGTCATTTTCTATTTAGCTTTGTACAAGGACAGAAGAGGAAGCTTTTCTAGCAGTGACTAACAAGATTTTCAAAGTAAGGTTGTGATAAAGCTTACAAATTGTCTGTAATGATGAAATTGTATGCATTTTGCTCCAGAACTCTGATAATTGAGAGCCATCATTGCATAATTTAATGTTGTTATCATTTTTGCTGTGTACATCCCCCTGAGCGCTAACATCAGAGGTGCACTTGGCGAATTTTACAGTGCTATTATCCTGCAACCAAACACACACCCGGATGGTCTTTTCATTGTCGCTGGCTATTTCAACCAGGCGAACCTCAGGACAGTTCTACTGGAATTCTATCAGCATGTTCATGGTCCAACCAGGGGGGAAAACACACTGGGCCTTGTTTACACAAACATCCGTGATGTGTACAAGGCTGCTCCCTGGCCCCATCTAGAACAGAAAGACCACATCTCCCTGCTGCTGATCCCTGTATACAAGCTGCTCCTGAAAAGACCCAAACCAGTCACCAAACAAATAAAAGTGTTTGGTGTGACCTCAACACTGCAGGACTATTTTGATCACACTGACTGGAACATGTTCAGAGCTGCTGCATAGTTCGGGGACTGTTTGGACTTAGAGGAGTACACATCATCTGTCATTGGCTACATCAGCAAGTGTGCAGATGACGTTGTGATCACTAAGTCTGTCACTATTAAACCTAACCAGCAGCCTTGCTTGAACTCTGAGGTCTGTTCACTGCTGAAGGCTCAAAATGCTGCATTTAAATCTGGCGACAGAGCAGCACTCAAAGCAGCTAGGGCCAATTTAACTAGCGGCATCAGGAAAGCCAAATCAGCCTATGCCCTGAGGATTCAGGAGCATTTTGTGGACAAGGACCCAAGGCGCTGAATGATTTCTATGCACAGTTCGAGGCACTCCACACAACCCCAGCCATCACCCTGGTTTCCAAAAAATCACCAGTATCCAGCCTCAATAACTATTGCCCCGTCGTACTCACCCCAGTCATTATGAAGTGCTTCCAGAGACTAGTCATCAAGGCCTCACCCACATTAGACCCACACCAGTATGCCCACAACAGATCCACCGAAGATGCCATTGCTGCTGCAGTACATCTGGCCCTGACCTATCTGGAGGGTAAAGACTGTTATGTCAGAATGCTGTTCATAGACTTTAGTTCAGAATTCAATACCATCATTTCCCAACAATTGGTACATAAGCTATGCTCACTGGGTCTGAACACTCCACTGTGCAACTGGATCCTGGACTTCCTGACCAACAGGTGCCAGGCTGTGAGGATCCATGGTAACACTTCCCACACCATCATTCTGAACACTGGTGTACCGCAAGGCTGTGTGCTTAGCCTATTGCTGTATACCTTGCTGACACACGACTGTGTTGCCAAATACAGCAGTAATCATATCATCAAGTATGCTGATGACACCACAGTTGTGGGCTTCATCATTAACAGCGTTGAATCAGCCTATAGGGATGAAGTGGAGCGGCTTGCAGCCTGGTGTAAGGCCAACAATCTGTCTCTCAATGTCAACAAGACCAAGGGGATGATTGTGGACCTCAGAAGGACTCGGGCCATCCACACTCACGTGTGTATCGATGGTTCAGCAGTAGAGTTAGCGCATGGCTTCATGTTTCTGGGGGTGCATATCATCGAAGGACCCACAATACATCACACTTAGTCAAAAAGGCACAACAGCATCTCCACTTCTTGAGGAGACTGAAAAGAGCCGGTCTCCCCCCCTCCATCCTCACCAGTTTCTATAGGTGCGCCATCGAGAGCGCATCATGCTGCATCACCATCTGGTATGAGAACTGCGGACTGGGGAGCTATGCAGCGTGTGGTGAAGACATCCCAGTCCATCACCAGGACTTCACTGCCCACCATCCAGAGCATCAACAACAAGTGGTGTGTCAGGAGAGCACATAGCATCATCAAAGACCCTTTTCACAATCTCTTTACACCCCTGTCTTCTTGAAGATGGTATTGCAGCCTGAGAGCCAGCACCACCAGGCTCAGGATTTTTCCCGCAGGCTGTTAGATTACTGAATTCCAAACAGCACAAGGACTGATCACCACCTGCTGAACAACCACCCACTGCTGTGCTATCGCCACCATCTCACTGACTGTATGCATTGTAATGTTTGCACTGTTGTGTCTTGTTATGACTATATCCTGCACTATTGTCTGCTCTTGTCTCCCGCTCCCTGCAATAAACTGCAAAGAAAATCCTAAAACAAAAATTCAAGAGTGCCAAATACCTGGCAAGTAATGTAGAAAATGTCAAAAAGTAATTTGGAAAATTTTCTAATGTAGAAAAGTGCAGACAAGAGTGTTACATGCAGGTGGCAAGACATATAAACTAGAAATGTATATAACTCAAGTAGGTAGCTATGTCGGCATGCGTAGGTTGCAAAGGTTTATTCCATGCTGAAAAAAGAAGAAAAATGCGTTTTCGGCTGTGGAGCCTTCTTTGGGAGCCTTCTTCACACCCAATGAAGAATCCACAGCTAAAATGCTGTGTTTGTTTTCTTCTACTGATATTCTGGGATCAGTCTAGAAAATAGGCCGGCCCAGCTTTTTGGGGATCTTAGGCATGACCTTGGAATGGTGCCCCTCCAGATCATCATCTGCACATAAACTACTATTATCAGCTAACTAGAAAACTTTTACTAACCAGCTTTGAAGAACATGTAATACAGATGCAGCCATTCAAAATGGGTGAGGTATTTCGCGGCATACCCCGGT